ATTAAGACAATGTAAAAATAAAGTACGCTGTGCCTTTAAGACTCAAAGTAGTTATAAACAGTGAAAATAATTTGTGCAATGCTGTGCAACTAAAGTGATCAAATGCATCAATGTGCAACACACTTAAGCATATAAATATACAAAGTGTGCAAACCAAAATATTTTTTTGTGCAACAAATTTAGTGCAAAAAGACAATACTTAGCTTTCCCAATTATGGAATTTGCTTTAAAACTTCTGTCAGCAATCCAATATGTGTCTCAAAGAGAGAAGGGAAATACACAATCATATGTTAATAAATAAATGTAAAGAAAATATGAACCAAAAACACTCACACGGGTAGAGCAATCAAGTCCGTCCCTTTTTCCAATTTCGTTCACTTCTATGGATCAACTGAGTTCTGCACCCAGCCACTAGCAGCCACTTCAGTATACCGGCGGTTTACCACTTATCCTTAGTAAGGTCCATTAGCTACCGATTCTGCGACTGATATAAGTAGACCAGTACCCATAGGAACCTATCCAGTGACTTCTATCTCCTTTACAGTTACTGGGATTTTTGTGTTTGGCTATTGGGTTGGCTCCTCACTAATTTTAGAGGTGTTTCTAACGGTACCATCAGGTGTCTGGGGTTAACGTGACGTTACTTGGGGATCTATTAAGGCCCAAATACTATGAGCTACGTTTAGCCCCTAATTACCTATGTTTTGTCTTCATGACATTAGTTACCGGGTATTGTAACTAGGTGAAGTTTTCACTTTTCTCATGATTGCTACACCTTGTTTTTTGGAGTTCGTTTATCTAGCAATTTTGCCTTTACTTTAATTTAATTTATATATATTTTTTTGATTGTCAATAAAGGTCCCCACCATTTTTTAACTATACTTACAATTGGAGGTATCTGTGGATTGGAGTAGATCTCACCTCCTCTTTTGGAGTTGGCGGTCTACCCCATCTTTTTGTAAGTTTTGCTAAATATTTGACCTCTTCGAATTAGTACTTGGTGGCAAAACCCTTGTTGGCAGTCACAGAGGTCAGACATTTCTTGCAGTTGGCCACCAGGTTTGCACACATCTCAGGAGGGATTTTGTCGCACTCCTCTTTGCAGATTCCCTCTAATTCATTAAGGTTTCGAGGCTGGCATGTCGCAAATCGAACCTTCGGCTCCCTCCACAGATTTTCTATGGGATTAACGTCTGGAGACTGAGCCACTCCAGGACCATAATGTGCTTCTTTTTGAGCCACTAATTTGTTGCCTTGGCTGTGTGTTTTTGCGTTCTTGCATGGAGCACCAGACAGAGGAAGACTGACAGTAATTTTGTGTTTCCTCCATTTGCAAATAATTGCACCACCAAGCTGCTTGGCGATGGTCTTGTAGCCCATTCCAGCCATGTGTAGGTCCACAATCTTGTCCCTGACATCCTTGGACTGCTCTTTGGTCTTGGCCATGGTGGAGAGTTTGGAATCTGATTGATTGCTTCTGTGGACAGGTGTCTTATACAGGTAACAAACTGAGATTAGGAGCACTTGCTTTAAGAGAGTGCTCCTAATCTCAGCTCTTTACCTGTATAAAAGACACCTGGGAGACAGAAATCTTGCTGATTGATAGGGGATCAAATACTTATTTCACTCATTGACATGCAAATCAATTTATAACTTTTTTTGACATGCGTTTTTCTTGACATTTGTTTTGTTTTGTTATTCTGTCTCTCACTGTTAAAATACACATACCATTAGAATTAGAGACTGATCATTTTTTTTGTCAGTGGACAAACGTTCAAAATCGACAGAGGATTAAATACTTTTTTCCCTCACTGTGTATGTGTGTATGTATGTATGTATGTATGTGTGTATATATATATACTTTTAAACTTTAATTTCCACTGGGGAATGCATTTTATTTATATTTTTAAGTATTTAGGGCATTTCCTCCAATACTGAGTATAGAAAGGCAGAGATAGCTACAGATAGTCTGATTGTTCGCTGTGACATCACTGTGACATCATACTTGCTGAGCACAGTTCAGTCAGTACACACTGCTTAGACAGCAGACACTGCTTAGCTGCTGTGGT